GACTCGAGTCTCCCAATTTTTCAGTTTTATTCATTCAGTCTCTCTGTGAGAGACTCGAATCTCTGAATTAACAATTTTATCGTTCGAGTCTCTCATACAGAGACTGTGAGAGATCCATAAAAACACCTTGGCAATAACTGAGAGATTGTGAAAGACTGTGAGAGACTCTCTTAGAGACGCTGAACGACTCTGAGAGGCTGGGGAGAGACTAAAAAGTTTTGTTTAGGGTCCTCCAATGACATATCACGATTTTTTTAATTAGAAGTAACCAGTTGGGAATGAAATCTGTTTTATTGATTATGTAATCTCCACCGACGTTTTGGCTTTCGATCTAAGCCATTATCAAGGCACGTAAGTAATCGACCTTGATAAAACCTTAGATCGAAAGGCGAAACGTCAGTACAGAATAAACAGTCAATAAACAACGTTTCACCCCTTACAAGTAACTTTTAAATAAAAAACAACATGGAACAAGATATAGAAATGGAACCAAGCCTGTATGGTACTTCTAGATGTTTCACAATTGTTCGACTGTGATGAACAGGTTGGATTTATTATTAGCAACACCATTCAGACAGTATTTTTTTTTCACTTTATGCTCTGTATCTAAATCGTCAAGTGATTTTTATTACGGACTATAAATAAAAAAAGAATAAAGAGTTGCATCTAATTTTTTAAATTCAATATTTAATAAGATTGTTGCATAAATCACCCTGAATGTCTATGTTCCATTAAGCACCCCCAACAATTAAAAGGAATGGAATATTTGACTAATTGTAAGTTTTTTGGTAGTAAGTTACAGAGATGTAACTGAAGTATCTGAAATACATATACAAGATCCAAAATACGTATTTTCATCTTGTATCTATAAAAATTCTTTAAAATTCATTTTGTTCTTGTATTAAAATACCTTTTGTTTGGTATCTTACTATTTTGTAGGTACTATGTTTGCTAAAATACTTTTAGTAATAGATAAATGATTCTATAGTGACAGACATCTTAGGTGACATTAATTTTAAATGTCTTAGTGAAACCGTTCACTTGCTAAGTGAATATGTGGACTGTTCAAAGCCAGTAGCAGAAACTATTCAAAGCCTGCAAGGGGAAAAAGACGCTTATTATGATTCTTTGTTACCCGAGCTAGTAAGAATTCAACATGTAATCAAATGTCTTAGGACGGAAAATCTAAAATACTGCGACTCTCTGTTAGATGTGATTGAAGAAAACTTAAGCAGACATTTTAAAAAGTTTTTGCAGTTAGAGCCTGCAGCAAATGATACAATATTGGCCTCAATGTCATATCCGTTCTTTAAAATGAGATACGTACCAAAAGCGCGGAAAGAATTTGTAAAAGAATTTATCCTGACTGAAATACGAAACATTAATCGATCTGAAAAACCAAAATCGGAGACTTTAGATTTAGACGATATTGTAGGTGATATAAAATAAAAGTCAAAAGATGAATCTTAGTACATGTTTTTAGAGGATTGAGATTCCTCTGTTGCAAGTGCCGAAAACACAGGATCTACTGACATCACCGCTGACTTAGAAACATTGCAATCCTTAAATAATAACGATACCAACATAAAGAGCTTAAAAAATGCTTATCCTACAATAAAAAAAAAAAACATTTTTCAAATACAACACCTGTTTGCCAAGTTCTGCCCCTGTGGAGCGACTCTTCTCGTTTGGAGGTATGATCATGAAGCCCCATAGAAAAAGAAATGAGCGATAAACTGTTACAGGATCTGGTTTTACTTAAATCTCAATGAAAACCTTAAAAATATAATATTATGTTGTGCTACGTTTACGCGATCAACACCGTTTACATGTAAAAAATAAACTTTCATTAAAAAAAGTATTTTATCTATAAAAAGGTACGTATTTTATATCTAGTAATTCAGATACCATTCCAGAAAGTTATTTGCATCTGGTAGGTATCTCAAATATACTTAATTTAAAAGTGTTTTGCATTTTGTATTCCAGATACTTTACTTAAGGTATCTTGTACATCATTGGTAAGTTAAATGGTCAATATTTAAATCCATTTTGTATTAAGTTACCTGAATATACTGATCATTTATGTAATATTAAATACCGATCATATTTATTTAAATACTGGCAATTTACAATGGTATAAATACTGACCAAAAGACATCGTTGAATTTTAAAACTGACCATCAAAATACAAGCCATTACTTTATTTTCCTAGAACGTTAGAAGTTGATCCAAAAAAAAAGTAACTTGGATATCATGATGAATATTTAAGGTACTGGATTAAAACACTAATTGAAAAATGACAAGTAACGTCATTCAGTAGTGATATAAATGCGAGAAAGACAATCAGAAATGACAATAGTACTTTTAAAAATCCATAAATTTTATAGTTGTAAATTGATTTCAGAAATTGCTTTAAAAATAGGTATCTGGACTTATATATGTTTATTGATTTACTCGATAAATAATCATTTGAACGTATCTCGAAATCCTTAATTATAATTTACAGGAGTTTCCCTTCAAATAGTGAGTGTAAGATATTCTGTTAATTTTTTGCATAATTAGTGGAAAGTACTGGAGGCAGTGTATTTTGTTACATGTTTTCTTTTCCGAATAGGTTTCAGGCAGTGGGTTGTTATATAATCTAACAATAAGTAAACTGTAGTAATTTTTCAAATAGATACTGATATCCTAATAATAATAATAATAATCAGTTGCAGTCTGTAAACATGAAAAACTGTATATACGATCACGTCTCATAGTGATCAGGGATTAAAATATCACGAAAATATTAAATAATAATTCAAATATTTACTCCTCATTTTGCCGTAGAGGAATATTTGAACCTTTAGGAATTATTTACCTACTGCTAATTCTACTTTCTAGGATCTAGATCATCACACGAAACATGAAATTGTAAAAATAAAGTACACTACTTATTTCAGTCCTTCAAGACATATAGGTACACCTATATTATATATGTACGTATGTGTATTATTTTAATTAAGTAACAATCTCTTTAATTTTTTTTACTTGCTTTACAATTAGATAATGTAAAAATATTTTATGGACATTAAGCGCAAGGGAAAAGTTTTCATTCGTAAATTATTGTTATTAAACATGAAACTTTTTCAACGCTTCAAAATTACTATGGATAACGTATTATGCCTTTTACAAATGCAATTATTTGGCAATTACCATCACTACATTTAAGCGGATTTGCTGTTTGACAATCAATACGAATTATAAATAAAAATATAAAACGAAAACTATTCAATTCACAAACAACCCTTACAAAAGTACAAACTGGTATCCTTCTATATTTTTTCTTTACCTTTGAGGAATCATCGCAATTTCAATGCACACATTCCTTGTCTACGGACAATGACCTCGTCTTTTCATTAGGTATTTTCACCTAAAATATAAAAAAAATTGCTTAATAATAAATTAAGAATGAAGAAGATAACAATATTAAATATTCGGATGTCTGCCACTTAAGTAATTGATTGTTAGATTATTGCTGAAGATTATTAAATGCCTGAGATAAAAATGTTCAGTCTCTCAGAGTCTTAGCGTTCCTGAACGAGAGACTCGAGTCGCTCATAGAGAGATCCTCATTTCGTATCCAGTCTGTGAACGAGAGACTCGAATCTCTGAACGAGAAACTCGAATCTCTCAATAAGTGGTGTCTCGATAGACATGGTTAAAATTTTCTAAGTTCAACATATTTCAGAGATTCCAGTTTTTCTACGAGAGACTCGAGTCTCTCAATTTTTTTAGTTTTATTCATTCAGTCTCTCTGTGAGAGACTCGAATCTCTGAATTAACAATTTTATCGTTCGAGTCTCTCATACAGAGACTGTGAGAGATCCATAAAAACACCTAGGCAATAACTGAGAGACTGTGAAAGACTGTGAGACACGCTGAAAGACTCTGAAAAAAACTCTGAGAGACTGGAGAGAGACTGAAAATTTTTGTTTAGGATGTATAAGGGAAATATTAGCTGACTGTTCATTATAAAAGATTAAATAATGTTAAAGGTCATGCTAGATGGCAAACTAATCGAATTTACCAGGTCAGCTCTCCCTCCCCTCCACCTCCCACCCCTCATCTTCCCCATCCCTCCTCACTCTAGGAAATTTAGAACCAGCTTAGAGAAAACAGGATTTTTAAAATTTACAAGGTAATTTAATTTTTGCGCCAAATGAATTCTTGTTGCTTAAAAGGGTGTGGGGACAATTGCGAACTTGGGGCAATTGTGAACATTACCCTTGTTATCCTATCGAAAAAGGAAACGCAAGAAATAATATCGAGAAAATAATGACTTGTCCAAATACAATATTAATCACCATTTTTCACTACGTAGGTGTTTTGCTTATGAAATTATTATTATTGGTGTTTATTTTTTCCCGGTCCATCTCTAGTTTAACCATCTTTTTTCCTCATAAGAAACTGCGAGAAATATAAGGAAATTTCTGTAAAAGACCTAAGGAATAAAAATAACATTATCTGGCAACGTTGATTTTAATTTTTGGTTAGGTCCTTGCAGCCGTAACAAGCGATAAGGAAATTCGTTCCAAAAAATGCTGAGATGTATCAAAACTTCAATTACAATCGGTTGTATATAATATATATGTTTGTATAGTCACTCCTTAAATGAAAGCTAACTAATCAATGTAGTCACAGATGCCGAATTGTATATAGGAATACTTAAATGTAATCCCGCACTAGTTTGTAAGAGGTATTAGGAAATCTCACCTTCCATTAAGGCAGCTTAGACTAATTGGCAAAGTTGAAGATGATGAGTTTGAGAAATGTCCAGGTGTTGACTCAAGAAGTGTGTACCATTGAGCAACGGGCCTTCTGGGATTATCTAACATTTCCAACCAATGATCTCTACCTACTCCTATAAAACTGGATCCAATAGCCGTGCAACCCATTAGATCATCCGAACCTATCCTGCAAAGAACAAAGGAAGCACATTGTATATATATTCTGAAATTTAGAAATGAGTTTAATCATTAAGTATAAAACCCAGAATGATGTTCGATTAAAAAGGATAATGTGGAAAAAAGAAACACCACTAAGTAAAAAAAAAATACAACGTGTAATTAAATAACACGCTGCTGAAGTGAAACTTCTTCAAACACACAAACATACCAGGATAGGGGTTAAGGAATTGGTTTAATGGTATTATTTGTATACTATGCTTCGCACGGGTGCAATGCTGATAGTAAATATACTATAGAATGTCTTTATATACAACAATCACAGCTTTTTTGTCATTAGACAATACAAACCGACCGGTACCGCCCCAACCGCTATATCCCTGCATTTTAAGTCTGCAATATCTTCGAAAATACTTATTTAAATTACATGCTGTAAAGGCCCATATTGATCTATATTAAAAGCACAATGCATTTAAAAGTACTTAATTGAATAAGGATTAATGTTGTATTGCTTAAAATCGCTTCGTAAACAAGCCAAAAGTAAAGGATAAAAAATGGTTATTGTGGGTTATCCCTAAGAGATAGACATATATCATCGCGGACTTTTTTGTAGACCTTTTTAAAGTGTACAGGACTGTAGTATATTATTTTGATCTATCTAGGGTTCAGCCAACGTTTGCAATGTAAGCGCAAAAAATGTGTTTATTTACGACATTACATTACAAACCTCTAAAATTATCAGCGTTCCTCTACTATATTATGCATGTATTAAACATATAAACCTTCCTCTGTGATTACTCTATCTATTAAAAAAACTGCATTAAAATCCGTTGCGTAGTTTTAAAGATCTAAGCATACATAGGGACAGCGGGGGAAATGCGTTGCACGATTTCGTTACATAGCAACTCGCATGAAACGAACTTACCCTACCGTGCGTAAAGAAGTTTCACTTCAAAAATATTTTTTATTAAAGCTTTATTTTGGCACTGGTAGGTATTCGTGAAAAACTGCACTAAAACATGCATTCTTTTGATTAAAAATCAACAATTTCAATTACGAATAACTCGCAAAGCATTGATTTACCTATATGAAAATATATAAATATATATAACATTTTTGTCTAAAGTTCATCCCCCTATCGATTTCTGCAATTATTTTGATAATGTCAATTTTCACCTGCTAGAAGGGGTGGCTTTTCCCTACTTACTGTCCAAATGTTATGAGAATCGGTCTTACCTGAAAGAATTCGGAGATAGAAACCATCATCCTATGGAATATTAGTTAGTGCTTTATTCCACAAGTTAAGTAAAAAGTTATATAAAAAAGTTAATACTGTCTAATAAATCTTTATGAGGTATGGCGACCTAGAGAAATTTCTTAGAGTAGCAAAAAGAAGTTATTACTTATTCGCTCTAAAAGAAAGGCTTCGTAATAAGGGCAATTCTAAAAGAAAAGGCTAGTGGCGCATTTGTGTTCATTACCAACCTGATTACTAAATAAACAAATAAGAAAATCACGATATATGAACAGTTTGTAATACTATTTAAAAACCTAATAAACAACTTGCAATAAAGACAATTTACCTATTTGAGAGCGCTCATTTAATTTCAAAAAATACAACGAAGCGAATGTTTAGTTTTTGTACATTCATAATTAATATTGTAGTATTTGTAAATGTGTATATCGTACCTGCGTTCCGGGAAAGCAGTTAAACATTTCAAAGAAAAAAGAAACTATCCGGATGTTTCGAAAAGGCTCCCGAAAGTAAACAAAAGAGTATTTAAAGGAAGAGACGATCGCCGAGTGAAGTAGAAATAAATTGACCATTGCAGAAGTGAATCGAGAAAAAAATTGACAGTGATAGCAGTGAAATAAATTGCGCAGTGAATAGTGATATATCAACAGTAGTGTAAATAAATAGAATAATTAATAACCTATGTTTAGTAATAATTTAATAGTGTTTTTAAGTTCTTTAATAATTAGTGTAAATAAATAGTTCTTGTTATCAGTCTAAGAAGGATTTTGTTAAACCCATGAACTTTTTAATTAATATTTCTAATACCACTGAAATGAGTATGTTGTAAATGAACATTTCGTTTGTAAAATTATTCATTTAAACAATACCTATCTGCTACCGCTATCGCAAAGTACGTTTTTTTTAAGAAAACGGCTATTGTAATCGATTAACTTTGATGCATATATGTTTACACGAGATCCTCTCTGTCTGAAAGCAAACGGAGAATGATCCACGCATGTGTACGCATGATGAGATTGATAAACATTGCGAAAAAGAGGAACTAATTGTGAATAATTCCTAACATATCTCCACCTTCTTCTTCGGATTCCCTTACGCTGTGTACCCCTCAGAAACTATCGTTGTGCTACTGAATCCCTTTAAATAAATTTGGCCACCCCTACCATCAGCATTTATTCAGATCCTTGCCGTATAAAATATTAGTTACTAAGAATAACACCACACTTGTTGCAAAAGGCAGTCATTTGACCTCAATTTATTAAGGAGCTTTACTTCGGAGCTTTGTGACGCAAAAAATTCAATCAAATCCCAAAACTTTAAGGTTCGTGTCAAACTAGTTACTGTTAAAAGCACAGCTAACGAATTAAGCCGCGTTTTAGTTTATATAGTACCTACTACGAAGACAATTTTTTACTCTACTAACTACCGAAAGTAGCTCATTCCCTGTGTAATTGGACGAAGGCATACCTACATAAAAATATTTGCAATCTGATATTGACATGCGGTTGTTATCTTCGAAGTCTTTTTCGTTAATTTTTTGACTTCAGAGTGGAAGGCTTTGCTGGGAACTGGGAACCGTATTTACAGTCTTTAAGAACCCCCGAAATATATAGACAATAAAATAATTCGAAGTGAATAAAATAATTCGAAGTGGTCTGTATTCTGTCGAAACTGCCAGACGCGGATCGCGATTTCGATCTTTTTGGATCTCATTTGCGGCAGCAAAAATGTATTTAAATAATATTAATGAAAACGCTCCTTTAAAGTTTATTACGTCAATTACTTTCAAACTTCAGGAATTCGTTAATTTTGAAGTCTGACACGTGTTTCACCTTTTCCTAGAAAAGGCTCAAGACAACGCGTGTCGCACAAGTTGCTCATAAAAATTTCACCGCCGATACTTTCTTTTCAAATTCGGAATAATGGGTTTTCCTTGTTCATTGTGCTTTGCGAATGGTAACGTGAATAGATCCGTATAATTTCACAGTGATTGTTATTTATTACGGTCGGTAGCCATTGTAATTGTAATTAATTTTAATGAGTATCTAATACATTAGTTATTATTACAATTACAACGACAGGAAAAATTAACCATATTTCAAAATGATAAAATGCGAAAATACTAGTAGATAAATGCATTTAATTCGATAATAGTTCGTATAAATTTTAACCAACTGTATATAAAAAAACGAACGATTAATTTAGAAATTCGAAAAAGGTTGTTAAAGGTTATGTTTGGAGGCTTTCACGGCCGGCGTCTATCGATCAGTTACGACTCAGCTCCTGCCCAGTCACCACTGAAGATGCCGTCAGCAAAGAAGGGCGAAACGTCTGGAAAAGCAAGATTCCACGGACCACGGCCAGAAATCCCGGAAGAAAACACAGCATCGTTATATTTGGAGCACGGCGCTGTACGGGTGCGAAACATAGACAGTGAGCGCGGCGGAAAGGAAACCGTTAGAAGCGTTCGAAATGTGTTACAGGCAAATGCTGAGGATACCGTGGATAGAGAAGGTTAGAAAGGAAGAGGTATTAGAAAAAATAGGAGAACAGAGGACTCTATGGAAGTCAATTAGAAATAGGCGAGATAGGCTGGTAGGACATCTTCTCGGGCATGAAGGTCTAGTCAGAGACATATTAGAGGTAGAAACGGAAATTAGGAGGGGTAGAGGTAGACCTAGATTAGATTACTGTTCGCAAATAGTTAAGGATGTGGGTTGTTCTAGTTTTAGAGAAATGCGATGTCTTGGGACTGACGACCTTATGATGATGATGATGAACAAAATTGTTGTCTTGGTCTTGAATTTTCGCAAGACCATGACTTAAGACACAAAACCAAGACCAAGATCGAGACTATGTCTTGCTTTGCTCATCACTAGAAGGAGTGTTAATTATTTTAAATAAAGGAAGTTTTCAGTTAACAGTTATATTTATACATAAAATAAAAGTAATTTCCATATACAGAATTCTAGCATAAAAAGGCGTACCCAGGATTTTTGGGAAAAGGTGGCAGAAAAGTTACATTTAATTTTCTGTTTATCCACCTACATTTGTTCATGAATTTATTTTTCTTTACGTTGTATTTTCTGTACAAAACATTACTATGTACTTATGTTTCTAAAAATGTTATTTTGATTTTATTTTATTATGCAAAACTTTCTGAAACAGTAAACGTAATTTTTGTAAATTGTTCACCATAGGATAATGGATACTAATCCATTTATACATCCTCTTCTTCAATCCACCAAAAATCTTTATTCTTTTTAATAAAAAAAAAAACGTTATTCAGGCATCAACTCCCCCCTTTTAGGACGGATGGTTCAGAATAACCCTTTACCGATCTTTTCCTCCCTTTTAGTCACATGGTATACAGTAGACATTAATCCATTTATACATCGTTTCGTTCGTTGCACCAAAAAACTTCATTCTATTTATCAAAAAGCCATGTTGCTCAGATGTTAGCCCCCCCCCTCTCGGCCTATGGTTTAGAATAGCTCTTTATCAGGTCTCTTTCTCTTACAAAATCATATGGTATGTGAAAATAGACATTAAACCATTTATACGAGGTCTGTTCAAAAAGTATCGACAATTTTGTGTTTTTTCAAAAATTATTTACTTATTCATGTATCTATTGTACCTCTTCAAAGTAATCTCAACTAGGTATTATACACTTGTGCCAAGGTTTCTTCCAATCCAAATTGCAATATCTTATGGTAAATAAAATGGAATGTAGGCACAACTGTTTTTATTTTATTATAGATACATATATGCTTTTATCGCTTTCTAATCGTTGAATGTAAGTTTGTTTCGTCTTGCAGTCTTAGTTTTGGTCTTTTATATATAGCAACATCAAGATTATGGTTACCACGTGACTAATTTTTACAAATTAACATAATGTATAAAAGGATAAATAAATAATAATTCAGTCAAAATAATGTCATAATTTTCTATTAAATAATCAAATAAAAGTGACGCAGTTATAAATAGAATATCACGAAAAGAAGAAAAATGTGGTACTTAGAAAGATTATGACAGCCTCATATCTCATGCTTTCGGCAATTTAATAATCTGAGAGGCGTATTTTCCGTTGTGCGTGATGGAAGAATTCAAGTGTTTATTAAATTCGCAAAAAAGGCACGACTTATAGATAGAATTTAGAATACTTACCTATCGTAATCAAAAACTTTTACTATAAGACTGACATCTTCAACATTATCAGATGGCACATCAAATACCAACGCCTCGTTATAAACGGGATTGAGGGTGGATTTCTTAACGCTGGTTTTCTTCTTTTTTATCCGTTTCCCTTGGCATATCAAATAGACCTTCACGTACGGATCTGAAACAGAAATATTAAATTTACATAGAAATGAGGAATCGATAGAAATAGGGCCGTTTCATAATTGATGTTGCCGTAGAAAATACGTTCTACGCCATTAACCGACGGTTTATATTCGTTCTTTTTAGGATGATTTTCTCCACTGGAATAACAACAGTGCATCGTTTAGCTACATCATTCGATGGTGATGCCGAATAAACATTGGCATTTGTTATCCCTTTCTTTAGATTCATGACTTAATATTGAATCACAATAACAGCCGCCCGTTCAGTGAAATAGGCACTTTTTGCAAGCTGAATTCGTTTGCGTAATACATTTTTATAGCGTCACTAAGCTACAAACATTTAGCTCTACTACTTCCTGCAAAAACTGCTCATATCATCAGTATATTTACAAAATGTGAATGTACCAACTCTTTTACTGNTATTTCAATCATTACTTATTGAAGAACCTATCATTTTCAAACCTAAAAAATTTTTGCTCTCTTTCAACAGAATTCCACACCCCTTATGGGAGACTCTTTCCCTGGTAGCAGGGAAATTATCAGGAAAGCCCTCTCATTAGGGGAAGTACCACAGGATTCTTTGGAGATATGCCTGCTATCAATAACACAAAATACCTTAAAGCAATATTCTTGCGGCTTAAGGTTGTGGTGGGAGTTCTGCACTAAAAACAATATTAACGTATTTTCTATAAAAATCCCACGTGTTTTACAATTTTTAACGGATCAGTTTAAAAAGGGTGCTTCTTATGGTTCACTTAATAGCTACAGATCGGCGCTAGCACAGATAGCGGGTCCGAACCTGGCACAAGACTTTAGGATCAAGAGATTCTTCCGAGGCGTCTTTAGTTTAAGACAGCCGTTACCCAGATATGAAAATACATGGGACCCTGGCATAGTGGTTGATTACTTTAGATCTCTTGCCAGTAATCCTATTACTCTTGAATTCCTTTCAGAAAAATTAGTTACTCTTTTAGCACTTGCTACAGGGCAGCGTATTCAAACATTAAGTCTCATTGAAATTAGTAACATATTAATCCACCCTGATCGGATCGAGATAAAAATTCCTCATAGAATAAAAACAACATCTCTCAAAAGAACTCAACCATTTTTAGTCTTGCCTATGTATCATCTGGATCCCACAGTTTGTGTAGCCACAACATTGCTACAATACTTAGATGAAACGAAGGATTTGAGGGGTCCTTGCGATTTCTTAATTATCACACATAAAAGACCCTTTCGAAAAGCAACATCGCACACTCTTGCTAGATGGATAAAAAATGTCTTAAGAAAAAGTGGAATTGACATAAACACCTTTAAGGCGCACAGTACACGTCATGCAGCAACGTCAGCGGCAGCTAAGAATGGCGTAAGCTTTGACTCTATTAGACTTGCTGCAGGCTGGACCCAAAATTCAAGATCATTTGCAAATTTCTACAATAGGCCTATAATAGACAATAAAAAGTTTGCTAACACAATATTATCAGCGTCTGTTTATTAAATTTAGACATGCACATGTACTTGAGTTACCTATTATGATTATGTATCAATAGCCTTATAGTTAGTTGGTTTTCATTTATATACATATAGATATATGTTTACCTTATACTTTTGTACCATTGTTTTTTGTTTTTTCGATTAAATAAAACATATCTTCATATAATATATGTTTAAGTAATTTTTTGTTGCAACTACTTTAAACAGCTACAATACACGTTTATTTATGAGACGAGGCCGAATATAATCGTAAGATCAAACGAACTTACCTTAAGTGATGTTCGATCTTGATTATATGAAGGCCTCGTCGAAATAAATAAAGTCCCAACCCAGACCCATTTTATGTAATCCCTAATATTGTTGCAACAACTCTTTAAAATAAAACTGAGGCAACGGACGCGATAAAGAGTGGAAGGGAGTCATAGTAGTTTCTTTAAAGTTGTGAATATTTAGCCAGTGGCGGAGGTACTACAATACACGTTTATTTATTTCGACGAGGCCTTCATATAATCAAGATCGAACATCACTTAAGGTAAGTTCGTTTGATCTTACGATTATGTAGTATTTTTCAGTATGTGGAGTATAGGTATACAGTAGTTCAACATGAAAGAATGTGTAAAATTAAGTTAATATCTGTGTACAAATAGTAACACTTTAAAAGTCTGAAGATGATTGAATAAAGCGAAACGTTACAAAAACATAAAGTTATCTAATTATTTGACCGTCACCCTGGAAAAAACTACATAATTTAAAATTAAATTCAGTTTTTAAGACAACCATGAGACTGGGCCTGATTCTGAACTTATTTACTAATTCTTTTTTAATATGTTGTTTACAATACCGAAAAGTCCGTCAAAGTTTGTTAAGCAAAAGACTATATTCAGAAACATCTTTCATCCTATTTAATGCATAGACATTGTTTCGTTTCAGTTTTAATAATGTTGTTAAGACTTTATATCTGCGGACTTCTTCGAATTATTCTAAATGCCGCCTTCGGTACATTTGCAGTGCATCTGCGTTGTATTCTTGTAGTTTGGTTTTTCCCTAAATTATAACACCATTGTGTGCTTCCTAACTACGAACCTTTTGGTGTACGTGACCACTGACTGTGGGGGTAGTGACCAGGGAAAATTTCATAAACAGAAGTGGGAGAAATAGTTTCAGATAAAAAACGACAGAACTGTTCAGATTTTTCAGTCATAGCACATCTATCAAACCAATCGTTTTCAAATTCAATTCATTTTTTGTAATCGTAAATTTAAGTTAGATTAATTTGTTGTGTGTTGTTATTTTCACATTGCATAGTTGTGCGTTCGTATGTAAGACAGTTAATTAATTGTTTTAGGTGTAAATGTAATATAAAATTTACGTAAATCTATTACCAAATTGGCCAGAAAATTGTAGTAACTATCAGACGCGGATCGCGATTTTGATTTTAGGTATTTGATCTTATCAGTGTGTCAGTAATTTATTGAAACTATCTATGACTGATGTCGGTTGTATATTTGAATCGAAAAAGAGTTTTGCGCTTTTATGAGGTAAATTAGAAGTATTAGAAAAAGGTACTTTTTGTTGTTTCTTTTTGTTTTCATGCAATTTTTTGTCAACATGCCTACAGATTGATATCATATTCAACCTAAAAGATACAGTTAGGGCAATTTCATGTTTGGAAAGGACACTTAAAAGGCGATTTTTTAGACTATCACACCTTATTTAAAGATACAAATAAAAATAAAAATTTAAGGGTGCTACCTAGGTCTTGTCTAACGCTTGAAGTACTTCAGTAGCAGTAAATACCCACTAGATGGCAATGCGTTACTTGTATTTGACTAATACTAAAAAATGTAGTATTCTGTGTGTGGAAACAATCATCATCACAAGATTGCCAATCTAAAAACTGTTTAGACGCACACCTCCACTTCTTCGTACCCTGAATCAATCTTCGTGTTTCCCGTAAACCAAAACATCCCATATCCCTAACTTTTTGCTATCAGGAATCTAATCTGGGCCTTTCTCTGCCTTTCTTTAATCCTGCTTGTACTTCTTATATGTTTCTAAGTAGCTTTATAGTATTTTTCTTTCTCTCCATATATTGATTTACATAGCGTCCTCTACCTTCCTCCTTTTTCAAATCCTTTCTCATTTGTAACCTTTTTTTATTCGCAGTATTTTCATTACACCGTACTTGAAATGTTTCTAATTTACTCTTTTTCGCAGTCCCGACAGTCCACGTTCCCCACCTGTGCTAAAACCTGTGCTCAAATTCCAGATTAAGTATTTGAGAACACCTGCGCTTTTCTTTGTTTTAGGACCCTATCCGTTTCCGTCCTTGAGCTATCTGATTTCATATATATCGAGCGTAAGCAACTTCAAATGGTAATAACAATTATACATACGTTAATGAATTAGACTACAATTGCATTTTTGTCGTCAACTACTACAAAATTGTGAAACATCCTCAACCTTCACAAATAACATTTTATTTAAAACGTGAAAAAGGAAAATAAATTGTTAGGCAACCAGCATTTGCTTTGAAAGCATTCATATTTATGATTTCTCTTCGCAGCTTTTCAAAATTGATATCAAATTGAACGAAATACGTGAAATGTAAAATACCCAAATGTAGGCAATCTTGCATAGAATTTCACAAAGCTATATGAAACTAGAACGTATTATTAAGTTTAAAGGTTTCTATGATATAACAAGTACATATATCGTCATACACGTGCAGTTTTCTGCTCGGAGAAACGAGCTTCATGGAATTGTAATGTGTAGAGTTACGTTGTGAGGGGGAAATATAAGATATACGACAAGGGCGGATCTACTTTAGGGCTTTTTGGGTTGCAGACCAGGGCCCCGTAGATATGAAAAGCACCTAGCCTCCATTGAAAACAAAAAAAGCGATCATAAGTTTGCCAAATCTGCGAGCAATCAATCCATGTGCGCGTTTATCGAACGGAACAGGGAATTCCCCGTCGTTTGTTTTCGGTCGGTGTATTTTCTCGTGTGTGCATTTATTACGGGGATTTTCTTCGGCTTCTGATATAGGAAATGCCAAGCGTGACGAAAGGCCCAGGACTGGGTAAGCGAGAATTGGTAATTCAGCATTGGTGAGCTCAAGGACCAAGTATACTCGGCATGCCAATATTGGACCGTGCCCGAGCCAGTAATTAATTACCGATAATGGCTTTTCAATTCTGAGCCAAGTGTTTGCCACCTACCTACTTTTACTTTTACTACATACATACTTTATTCAACTTTTACCCCTGTATTATACCTATTATAAACTGGCATTACAATTTTATTAAAGGTAATGGAATTCATAAAATGACAAATATACAATTAATAGTATCATCATCATAAGGTCATCAGTCCTAAGACTGGTTGGACACGTACCTCCACTCTTTCCTATCCTGAGCTAAACTTCGCATTTCCCTAAAACTAGAACGGCCCACATCCTTAACTATTTGCGAACAGTAATCTAATCTAGGTCTACCTCTAC